CATAATAAGAATATAAATGATGTGTAGAAGTTTAGGTGATGTTAAGTGTTAACTGCATTTGTTTGCTATAAATTTTAGGTTTTAACACATTTGTATGTGCTAAACTTTTTGAAAATTTTAAAATAAGTCCTTAAATTATAAAAAATTAATTATAATTAAATCTTTAATAATATTTTCTAATTTTTATAATTAGATCTTTGCTGTTGATGATATATTTATAAATGGTTAACTCTGACATAATGTTTGTTATTCTTTTTTGATCTTAGATATATAATTACAAAAAATTGGAAAAGATTAAGCACTCAAACAAATTTTATAGTTCAAGGAACTATTTAAAAAACTAAAAAAGTTGAATTACTTATGAATATATTATCTTTAAATAAAACTTAATAATGAAAAACATGTTCTATAATTTATGTATCGTATAAATCACATTCCAATGTTTCTTCTTCTTTTTTTTCAACACAACTTAAAATGATTTATTAAATATTGATGGGATACAAACAAGTCATACATCGATAAAATAAGAGAAAAAAATAATCACTTATAAAACACATACATACTTCAATGTTAGAGAAGCCTTTTGAATGATGACCAAAAGCAAAAATGTGATGATTTAGGCTCAAAGCGGACAATATCTCATTATTGTAGAGTTGTGTGTGTAATAATTTTATAAAAATAACCCCACCTATTCTTCACAAATTTTCTCACCTATTTTTTATGGAGAAAGTTACAATCTTTGGGCGGTGAGAATAGAGACATACCTAGAAAGTTACGATCTTTAGACAGTAAGAATGGAGGCATACCTAGAAGTTTTAGATCTCTGACCGTAGAAGAAGATTATGATGTTTTCGCGTTGCTAGACAATTAATCCTACCTAGCCAAATAAAAATTCATAAGAAAAAAGAAAATCAAGAAGGCAAAGGCAAAAAGTTGTCTTTTTGCTTATATTTTACAAAATATTTTCACTAGAATCATGACTCTCAAATCGACAAAAATATTTTGAGATTATCTAAATGAAGAATACACACATATACACATGTGTGTGACAAAATATACACGAAAGATTAATTAGCTCATATTAAAAGAGAAAGATTTATTTCTAGTAGAGTTGTAAAAAGTATATAAGGAGAATTAAGTAATTATATTGAGCATGTTTGTTTAGGCTTTTTATCTTATAAGAAACTTTTTATTTTTAAATAAAATAAGCACTTTTTAGTTTTAACATGTTGGTCTAATTTTAAAAAAAAAATATGTAATTTTTTTTTACTTTTTTTTTTTAGAAGTAACACTTATCTATTTTTTAAAGTTTTTTTTATTTAAATATTTTGCTTAAAAACATTTTTTTAAGTTTAAATAAAAGGACCCATTAAAAGACAAAGTTTTATTAGTACATTTGTAAAAATGGACTCTCATCTTGTACTAGCCTGATAATTCAAAACAAGCTAAACCGATTTTCATATGGGTTACGAATTTTTCTGACTTGTATAATTTGATAGGTTGAATCAAATTAATCAATTTTTTTTTTCTTTCAAAAACATATATTTTTTACAAGGGAAAAAGTACCTAATCAAATATTTATATGACCAATCCTAACATGTTTAACCCTATCAAGTCAAGTCAAGTTGACTTTATTCTCCTTGGGATTCAAAGAGTTTAAACTAATTTGACATACCTCATAATCATCAAGTTGGATCAATTTCGAAAGTTGTAATTTTGAGAAGGAATTATAACTTGTTTTTATTTTATATTTAATTATTTTAGAAGATATTTTCTTATTAAATAATTTTATAAATTAATTTTTAATTTTTTAAATTGTCTCTAATATTTTCCAATCTTATAATTATGTCTTCGAGCGTAAGTTAACTTCTTGTAAATAGACCATTAACTTCAGAAACCTAGTTAAAAATTGACAAAATTAAAAGCTTATTTATAATTATTTTACAGATCAAGGACATATGAAAAAAAATAAAAAAAATATTTCAAGGATCAACAAATATATAAAACATAAATTTCGCCGATGACCGGCGGTTCAAGTTTAAAAAATTGAATACAATACTTTGATATGTAATATGATCATCACGTGAAAACTCATCATAATAAAATCATTTTCCGGGTAAAGGTAGACATACTTTATGATAACATGCATATCCAAAGATTTTTCATGCTTATGAAAGTTAGTCAATATAATTACACTTGTTTGCAACTGTATTTGGACCTACTATATATGTTCGATGTCTAGATGCATGAAACGCTCGTTCTCACGTCTATTGTTTCTTGTTATCCTTTTTGTGCTAAGCATGTATCTGAAAGGTCCATTTTTAGGCTTGTTGCGCTGTATTATATTCCAACGACATCATAAACATGATTTTTTCCAATCTTGAAGACTACAAAAGGATAATTGTGAAGTATAGTTAATTAAGCACAGATAGAGTAGACAAAATCTAAGACATTAACAGATCGAGTATAGTAACATGATCTCAATTCACATATAATAAGTCTCATGTTTAAGCCTCCACTTATATAACTAGAGTAAGATAAATGTAAATATCATATATAAATATATTAACTTAAATTTCTCTACCTTAATTTGACATACATTAAAAAAGTTAAGCAGAGAGAGAGAGAAGATTGAGTTCTCTTCTTTAATTTGTTAGATAGACTATTGTCATGCAAATCCTCCTTTTCCCTCCCCAAAAACTACAGGTTGATAATTGTCAATCAACTGATAAAAGAAAGACAATTTTCCACGGGTTTCTAGCTAATTGCAATCCTAATACTACTAGATATTATTGTTAAGGAATATGGATAAAATAATTCAATAGCAATAGCCCTATATACAAAAGAAAATTTGTTTGAACAAATTTATTTTCAAAGTAGAAAATAAAACTATATGTTTTTATGTATTAATTAAAAATCACTGTAATTTAATCCACATAATAATTTTAAAATTAAAACGAACAAATACAATATCGCCTTAAGTGGTTGTTGTCAAGAAAAAGAAAATGAAAGTTTTTTCTACAAAATTAAAGCAGTTGCTTTTTGTTGATATTGGATAATGGCTTACTTTCGGTTTTCAGTCAATGTACACACGCCCAAGTCAAATATGCACTAGTGAAAAAAAGGCTTTTAAAATCGGTTAAACAACCGATTTTAAAAGTTAACTTTTAAGATTGGTTGTTTAATAATCGATCTTAAAAGGCTGGCTGGAAAAAAATTAAACTGGAACGGGCCATTCCAAAAATGGAACGAGCCGTTCCAGTTTAATCAAAAGACCTAAATTTAATTTTAAGTACGGCCCGTTCTCCCCGTTCCTAAGGGAGAACGGCCCGTTCTCCTTGGAGTAATGGATATACGAAATCGATCTTAAAAGTCCGATTTTAAGATCGGTTAAGATCCTAAGGGTTAAGATCCTAAGGGAGAACGCCCGTTCTCCTAGGGGCGTCACTTTTAAGATCGGTTACCTTATAACCGATCTTAAAAGTCCGATTTTAAATCCAATTTTTGCACTAGTGATGCCTTTTCTTGAGTAATGGATATACGAAATCGCTAATTCACAAGTACTTAATTAATTCTTTTTTTTATTTATTTAGCTTTTATTATTATATCATATAACAATAATTATTATTATATAACTTTTTTTTCTCTCTCCCTAATGCTTTATTTGTTTATAAAAAAATAGAGTGAAAATAAAAATAGAAAATAAAACAGTTGTTTGATAGTTCGGTAAAAGAAAAAATATATAAGAAAAGAATACGAGGAAATAAATATCTCTAGATTAATAATACAATACTTTTTTATATATTGTAATCATAAAAATATAATGATATTTGTTATTCTCTTTTAATGTAATTTTTTTAATTCAAACAAATAGATAAACTTTTTTTCCTTGCATAATGTTTGGTTTGAGAAAAAAAAAAGATAAACTTTTTATCATTCGATTCAATTTTTAAGAAGCAGACGGAAAAACAAATTAAATTTTTTGCTTATTTAATTCAAACAATTCTCCAATAATGTTGCGAGATTGAAGAAAAGGAAAAAAAATCAAACTTTTTTAATATAATATCTTGAATATTCTTACTCTTGTTTTTAAATTCAAAATTAAAATGTAAAGAAGTAATTTAGTTTTTTAAATTATTTTTTCCTCTTTGGAAGCAAAAAAACAAACTAATTCTCATTTTCTTCATTAAATTTTTTTCCTTTATTTATTATCGAACACAAATTTTAATTCTTTTTTTTTTCTCTCCTCTCTCCTCTCTCCCACCACAGCATCCATTAAAATTGTCTCCCAAAACACCCTTATATTTGCTTGTATACTCCCATATTTTCTTAAACGTCGTAAGAGAGAAAATAAGAATTTTTTATATGCGTGTATTTCTTCTACTACTATTTTCCAAACACCGCCTTTCACAATCATATCTAGCAAATGAAGCACAAAGTACATATAGAGAGGTTCATACAACATTATCCTTTTTCATATTTTTGATAATATTCCTTTGAAAAATGAAAACAGTGCACCAATGAGTTGAGATGAAGAGTGGAGTTGCTTCACGGAACTATCACATGATGCACGAGCCATAACTTACATTTGGGTAGTCCGTAGTCATGTCACTAGCAATCATTCAGTTCCCATGTGCACTTTCGTCTTTCTCTCTATATCTAATAAAAAGGTTACATGTACAGCAAGCTTCCGTACCCTTTTCAATTTTCATATACCATCCATCGGGCAAGTTTCCGCAATGAATGCCGATAGTTTTATCCATGCAATGCAAGTGGCAAATTAGACTCTTGCTCACAAGGAAACAAGGAAAGCTTCAATTCAATTGCTTTCCAACACAAACAAATAGTTGCACCAAAAACCTACGTCAAACTTAGCAGATAAGAAGGAATAAAGAGACGAGGTGTCACCGGACTTAATTTTAGTATCTGATTAGAAAATTCATGCACACAACTTCAAAGTAAAAAATCACTCACTTTACTTAATCGTAACACGTAACACGTAACACGTAACATGGAACTCCATATTATTACTTTTATATCAAAAATTGAAAGAAGGTGATTGGGGTGTCACAGCTAGCAAAGCTGGCATCTTGATTCATCTTTTTGGGGACCCAATTTCAATTAAAAAATCTTCTCATATCCAATTATCGAACCTAAGAAGCAGGACCACATATCCATGTAGTCCAGCACAGAGCTGAGTCAGAAGAGCAACGTTAAGGAAAATTATACGACCTTTCCGAACCCCCGGGCGTCCATCACCCAACGTGGGAACATGTCATAATTCAAGAACCATCGCAGGCAAACACCACTTTCTCCCCCCCTATGTCATGTGCTACTACTGTCTAACAATATTCTTCACACAGCACCAGCCCATAAAAAAATGTGACAAGAAAATTCAAAATTGTATATCCACATAGCATTACCAAACATATAGGTCTTTATACAAGTATTTACAGGACGTATAATTAAGAAACGGGAAATGTGATGATTTTTCATTAACAAGATGAAGATGAAAACAAAAAGTAAAACGATATTGTTTTGTTGTAGCATAATCAGTAATCTCAGATTGAGATGAGGATTACGTAATTGTATTGATCTTACCCAATTCCACTAAAAGGCTAGAACTGGAAGTCAATTCTAAGGGGTGGTTCTTGAATCAAAATCTTTGGGAAGGAAGATTCAACCTTGAGAGAAGCTCTGCAGAGAGGGCAACTAGAGTGATGAATAAGCCACTTATCAACACACTCGCAGTGGAAATAATGGTCGCACCCGGGCAAAACCTTAACTTTCTCGCCGTCTCTGAACTCGCCCAGGCAGATGCAGCACTCGCTCTCCTCCCACGCGCTCTCCTCGTGGTCCGACGGCGCGTGGTGCAGGATTATCGGCAGCTTCTTGATGGCGGCGGGGTGAAGTCCTTGCGGCGGTGCGAGCGGCGGCGCGTGGGTGGTGGGGAGGCGGCCCTGGAATCGGCAGACCCAGCGCGTGTAGATGAAGAGAACAGTGACCAGGAGGATAATGGCAAAGAGCACGATGACGAAGAACAAGGTTCTGCCTCGGATCTGGAGGTCTCTGTCATCCAGTTCCGTGTAGTGCCAATTCAACGTTCGAGAATCCGGGCTCGACATGGTGGTGATCTTGTTCCAAAGTGACGGCGGCGAACGGCGGAGGAGGGCTGCGACGGTGGTGGCGCATCAGAACAAACAGTATCATGTGACACTGTTTGTGTTTCCTGCTATTAGTGGGGATTGTGAAGTGAGAAACTGACACGAATGGGTAGCGTTATTTATAGTTAAGTTCGGTGGTTGGGTTTACTCGCAAACTCCGCGCGTGGACAATAATAATAATAAAAATAATGTTGGTTTGCTTTTCTTTTTTTGCTTTCTAATTGAGATTTGCTTTGAATTTTCTATTTTTGAAAAAAGAGAAAAAGAAAAGAAAAAGAAAGAAGAAGAAGAGTAAAGTGTTGATTGGGAGTAGTAGACATCAACGTTATGACATGGTTGATTTTGGTTATGCAGCAGTGTAGCGTGTTCGCCGACACGTCCTTTCTCCTTGGAGACATCATGGGTATATTGGATATGATAATGTGTCTAGTGTATTCTAATTGGGATTCAGATCCTGTGTGTAGATGAAAAACCAATGTCTGCGCCGTTGATTTTCCTATGGTATGCTATTTCTAATTAGATTTTTAATTAACAAATACTATTGTCGTTATAATAAACAAGAGTGTTTCTATAGTCAAATATTCATTGTTTAACATACTAACAATGTATGTGTGGAAAAAAACGACTCAAACAAAATTACAATGATTGGATTAGGACTTTCGCGTTTGAGGATTAGGACCAGGGGTTATGGATCCTTTTGCATTCTACTTCCTAGTATTTAACTTGAATTCGCAATTGTAATGAATGGAGCTCATAATCAAGATAAATAATTAAACGGAGAGCCACTGGTATCACCTCAGTAGTAGTGAAGTTTGAATGGTATTTATAATTTTTTTTGTGTGTGGTTATTATAATTTTGATAAAAAAAATTTAAGATTAAGGTTCATTTGAAAAAATTTACAAATAATTTATTTTATTTTAAAAATTGTACCCTTCAAATCCTCAATTGACCGAGTAAAAACTCTTTGCACTGTTAATAATTAAGCATGAAAGGTCATGTATCTTCCAACTTCCTATCAGATCAAGCAGATCGAATTCAAGATTACTCATGGATTTCCTAAGACTAATTAAGGCATTAATTTCTATAATTCTCACACATGTTCGATTACAGTTATAAATGTAATTTATAGGCTCATTATGACAAATAAAATGAAGGCTTATTTCAAGGGATTGGAATTGAAGAAAAATATTTGTATCCTTAATATGACATGGAAAAAAGATTTTACTAATAAAAATGTTATAAGTCAGAACGACGGTTAAGTTCTCTTAGAGTTCATATCACTAGGGTTCCCCGACTGCTATTCTTTAACCGGAACAGAAATATTTATGAGAGCTTTTGAACATACTTATATAATATTTTGATAAGTTGTTAGTATAACTTATTATTTTGTTTATGTGGAAACTTCTTGTGAAATACTCAAGTTTAAATTTTGTTATTGACACAAATAATTTTTTTTTTCATTTTTTTACTAAAAATTAGTTATATATTTTTTCATTACTCCCTCCAAAATCTTTTGTTTTTGTTTTTATTATTTTTTTTCTATTCTTTTCATTTTTTTTCATCTTTTCTCCCAAAATTCACATTATCCTATTATAAAAAAAAAATTCCGTAACCTTTTTGTATATATAAAATAACACATTTGAAATAATTTTGTTGTTCATATTTATACAATAATTATTTTTATCATAATTTTATATAATATATAGAATTGATTGTTATTTTAAAAAAAAATTTATGGTTCTTAATAATAATAATAATTATTATTATTATTATTATAATTATTATTAGTTTTTTGTATGAAAAAATTACTAGAAAAATCAATTATTTAAGATTAGACTCATGTCTTTGATTATTAACTTTAGATTTATACACATTTACGTTGTATGTATGGAATCTAAGATTTTAGAAAAATACTTTTGAAAATTTTGAAGTCATTGTTGTTACATTTTAGTATAAAGTAATACATTAATTAGACAATCATCGCAGATTAAATGTTTGTTTTGATGAATTACTTGAACCAAAATAAATGCTTCAATAATCTTTTTTTTTTTTGTTAAAATTCTAATATAACTTTCAAAATTATATATATGTTTATTTGTTAAAGTGTCTATTGCACATGTTTTAAGAAAGAAAATGTGGAAGATAAAAATCAAAATATTTAACTTAAATTAAAAAAAACAATGCCTAGTATTCAAAGTTACAGAAAATGGAAAATATTTGTTGGAAATGTAGAAGAATATGTCATTATACTAACAATTGTAAGTACACAAAATAAATGAATTAGAATGGGATAAAAGTTTTAAAAAATTAAATGTATTAATAAACTCCAAGTTAGAAGTTAGAAGAATTTTCTATAGAAGAAAAATAAAAATAAATAATAAATAAAGCAAATTATCAATTAAAAATCTCCATTTTTAAAGATGGTCAAAATAAAAATAGTAAAAAAGAAGGATATTTATAAATACCCTGTGAGAACTAATCTTTTGACATTTGCATTTTTTATATTTTTGACTCGTGTTTGTTTATTTATTGTGGAAAAAAAAATCTTGCAGAAACTAGATAGGCAGTAAAACTCAAGCCTAATGGCAAAACTAAAATTAATATCATAACTACTACTGCTTCATTCTATTGATAAAAATATTATATATTTTCAATTTTTATATTAAAATATAAATAAAATTTCATATCATTAGAATAAAAAAGAATTAAAGATTTATATTGTATACGCATACTCCATTGAAATAAAATTCTTTTGAATAATAATCAAAAACAAATTTATAAGAATTTAATTAAAAAGAATAATATTATATGAATATAAAAATATGTGTGAATCTTTGATGCATATCAAGATTTTTTACTTCTTTTAAAAAATATATCTAATTATAAGATATTTATTTTAACTTAAAATAAATTATTTTATTTATAAAAATGTGTCATGTGTGAATTTTAAATTTATAAATGAAAGAGTAAAAGATATAATTTATTTGTAAAAAAAAACTATATATAACATATTTTCATAAAAAATATCACTACATATAACAGAATATATCCTTTAAGAGATTAAAAATTATATTTAATTCACAAGTAAAAGCATCAACTTTATCCAAAGTAATTAAACTATTTTTTTTAAATGATCTTATCACTATTAACACAAACCATTTAAATTGGATTGTGGGATTTCTGAGCGTTCTTGTTAGCGAGTAATGTTATATTTTTCTAAAAATTATTTTTATAAATGTTTTTAATATTCCATAAAGATATTAAATAAAAAAAATAATTATAATTATTGTCTTGAACTTTATAAACAAAGGTGTTAAATATATTTTTATTCTTTAAAATATTTTAAAAGGTTAGTGTAAGTCTTTATTAAACGAAAACAAAATCAAACAATTATAAAAGTGAGTTGAATTCAAGGAAAATTAAATGAATTTTTTTGGTACAAAATTATTATAGGAGAACGAACACGATCACCTAAAATGATCCTCTTAAAAAAAAGGTGTGAATAATTCAGAAAGTGCGTGGGAATAATAAGTAGTGCAAAACGACATATTAATTTAATGTCTTGTGTTAGTGTCTTGGAATGTAAATGAGAATGATTTAGAGAGAGGTCATAGCATAGGTGGGTCTGATATTTTGGGGCACGAAGCTTCCTGTTCCTCTATGAGTTGGACAAGGCAAGTGTCATTCATTTTCCTCTTTTTTTTATTTTTCTTTTTGGTCAATAAGAAAGGAATAACTTGAACGACTCTTTCTTTTTCTGAGAATGTCAAGGTTCGATATAACTTTCCAACACGGATATGGGCCCATTGGAAGCCCAAATTCAACCAAAATTAGGCTAACTTAGCTATCCACGCGGAAATTAAAAAGGGGTCATTTGGGAGAGACGTTGCTATTAGAGTTAGTGGCACATATGGCACTGACTCGAAAAACAACTAAACCCGTGACCCAATAACCAAATTTTTCTAAGGCCCACAATATCCACTATCCATATTTTCCCACCGTTCCTTCTCTCCTGACTCATACTATCACTTATCAACCTTTTTCTTTTATTTAGAGAGTGATATAACCAGACAACCAATCTTAAATTTCTCTAATCATTTATGCTTCCTTCTTTTTTTTGTCTGAGCAATTACGGAAACTAAATAATTTTAACAACCTCAAAATCTGTTCCTCATAATTATTGCTTTTACAAAGTTGTTCTAAGATAATGTTTTACAGGTAATTAATTTCATTGAAGAATAAGAGAATAACCAATTTTTTATAAATTAAAAATGTAATTTTGTTAGATGAAAATAAGAATAACCAATTAATGTTCCTGTCTCTCGTTACATAAAAAATATTTTTTGTTTACTTAATAGTTGAAAATGTGTAATATACTAAAGTGATCTACAATTGTGGGTGTGACTATGAGAATGAGAAGGCAGAGGGCATGACTTATTTCATAGGGTTCAAACAAAACGTCTTTGGACACGTTAGCCCATTTTAGTTTACACACAGAGCCCAAGCCAAGTTTTCATTGTAGACCCAATCTATTAGGAGGACACTTGATTTGGGCCTTTTTCCCACCAAAACAAAAACAGTGGTAGAATTACAATCTTACCCTTTTGGCAGCTGACGTCACAATATAGGGGTTTTTAAAATAGTGAATTTGAGTTTAACTCAATCTTATAAAATCAGTTTGTAAAGTGAGGGTTGTTTTTCACTTATATACTATTTAATTGTCTAATCTCTAAGCAATGTGAGACTTAAATTTTTTCCAATATGCCCAATAATGCTAGACGTGAGAAGGTGTATTGGAAAAACTCAAGTTTCACATCGGCTAAATATTAGACAATTAAATAATATATGAATGAAAAGTAACTCTCACCTTATAAACCGGTTTTATAAGGTTGTGTTAAACTCTAATCTACAATAATAAGAGAGGTTGGAATCCAATGGTTCAGCGTGAGAAAGCACCGGCGAATTCATTCATGTTAGGTTATTTCTTCATTTCTCAACATTGGGATAATCTTAGTGGCTTTTGTGCAAAAGAGAATGGGTGAAGTTGGTGATCATGTTCCTATTTTACTTGTTTGGTTTTAGTTATTTGGTGGCAACATGCAAATGTTACATTAGAATGCTACTGCACATTGACACAACGTTATACTTACTGTAGAATGTCATGTCAAAACTATTTTTACTACAGAGCCTTGTACAATATAACGGCGCAGTACATTAGTTGAGCGAGCCAGTATATAATGGTGGTATCCATGATTGTCAGGGTCCTGCATGATTTTCTGCCTTTATTCTTTTTCTTTTTGGGATTTCACGTCCCTTCGTTTGAAGTGAAAAATGAAAACCACTGTTTGTGAGTTTCATCTTTTTTGCTGAACGTTCTCTCTATCAATTTTTAACTGTGTCCTCCACTTTGGACTGGAGTACTGGATCTTATTGTGTCATATCAGAGATCAAGTTAATGATGCATCAGATTGGCATCGACTCACATGTACCTTGTCCTCAACATTTATAATCTTGTACGAACGAACTGATATATTTCCAGTTTCAATCCTCTTGTAATAAATTGCTAAAATTGATTTACTTTACAAGCAGCTGAAGGACGATGTGGTTTGGGCATCTTTACTCTTTGTGAAGGCAATACTTGGATCTGACTCAAAAGAATATGTTTCAAATTGGCAGATTTTGAAATTTTAACTCCATATCATTGAGTGAAATTCTGGTGAAACCTACTCAATGGAAATTGACATTTACATCATTTAGTGACACTTGACATAAATTTCTCTTAATAATAAATAGTGTAAAAAAAAAAATATATATATATTTAAAGAATGTTTGGCTTATATTCCTTGATTGTATATTATATTGAAATGAAACGAGGTTTTGAGATTTCACATGAAAAACAACAAGGGCACATGTTATGCTCTTTGTAAGTCACGAGACGTGATATAAGTAGCATGCTGTGTTCATATGTTAAAGCATTTTATTCAGAAATTGTTAAAGAAAATCTGTCTTGGGCCTGGGTGATGTGATATGAATTAATGTGGCCAGTTGAAACTTAGTTTGCGGTGCGTTTGGAAGTATATGGCGCAACTCATGGGGTGCAAGTGCAACAGATAATTCATGTAGTTTGAATGGTAGGCATTTAGTTTTGGGTCATATCCTGTTACTATCAGAAATGTACATCCCCCAAAGAAACTCAAAACTTTCGGTCTTGGCGTTACTCTTTGGATTCCCATTATGATAAAGCTCAAGGGCCACTTGTGGGGTTGGTTACCTGGGGGAAAATCATAATGGGTGCTCCATGTTGCATTAAAACAGTACGATTGGACCCACCTTATTAAGCAGCAATCGTTCAAAGATAAGCAAGAATCAAACTGCTAGTGTTGCTTTCTTTGTGCTGAATGGTGTCTCGCCACTGTAGGTAGTGCCAATCAATGCCCTGGCTGCTCTCGTCTCTATCACCAATCCCTCAACACTCCAAGGTGATCTCAATTCACACTTTAAAGATTTTCTTTTCTATGCCTCTCAAACCCGATTAATCGTGTCTTTACTATAACCAAACCGAACAAAAGTTGTCTGAGATAATCGGAATTCGTAAAAAAGAGATTGATCAGAACATGAATTTTATGGTCACTTTGCAAAGTTAGGCAGGCTAGAAAGAGAAAGCAGCAACAAGGAAAATCCTATTGCTATATTAGCTAACCTGCTATTACAAAAGTGAAACTAAAAAGGCCATCATACCCATCATTTTCCACCAGTTCCTAGCTGCTATAGCAGCGTAGGATCCGTGAAATTCAACAATCAACACAAAACAATAATACATTTTTTGTTGAGAGTTTTCTGGAGTAGTTCTTATTCATTAGCAGGCACATACGACACATGGTAGCTGCTCTTGATTGATGAGAATTGAGAAGACTCATAACAAGTACATTCAAAAGGGGACCATAACATGCATTAGCATACATAACATTAAAATATATATGGGATTTGATTGAAATCATCCACCGTTTCATGTCGGCTCAATAATTGAGATGAAGAACTGTGGCAGAAGATATCATTGAAATCGCTGCTAGTGGAAAAGTCAGGGAATGGGGGCAAGCTAACATGTGCATGCAAGATATCAGGAGAAGGGATGGTAGCAGCAGCACAAGCAGTAGCATGACAACGAGCAAGACGATCCTTGGCAATGGCCAGGTCATGTTGAAGCTCCACCATCTTCCTTTGCAACAGAGCTATGGCACCAATGCATCCATAAACCGGATCTCTCAGCCTTGCCTCAGCCTCATATGCCAGAGAATTCACCGTGTCCTCTCTCTGCTCCTCTGGCACTTCAATCAGGATCTTGCTCACATTGCTCGCTCCAAATACCTTGTGCACCTTGGCAAACTTCTTGCACTCATCAGACCTGAAGTACGGTGCAAAAATACAATTGGGTATGCATCTTCTCTTCAATAACTTGCAAGCTGCACATGAAGAGCTTGAACGGGGCTCATAACCCTTCATGGCTCTCACTTACATCCACTTTCCTATGTTCTATCCTCTATCCTTCGCTCTCATAAATATGTGGTCCTTCATGTGCCTATTTCTATTACCTCTCTTAAGAATTTTAACATTTAAAATTAGGACAAAACTCTCATATAGTACCATAGGTGCGACTCATTCGGTCCTTTAATTAATTAAAATTAAACTTACTTCAATAAGACACATTGATATTTAATATGAAAAATTTATGAATATTACCAAAATTAAACTCTAATTCTAATAAGTGAATAATACCAATACTTTTGTCCTTAAAATTAATATAATTAAAAATGTTATTTTGTTTTTTAAAAAAAAAAAGAGTATATAGACAGCATTAATATCTCTTTCCCAATGGTCTATTTTGTGAGCAATTACGTGTCATCACCTATTAGCTCAGCAGGATTGATCATCGTGCCAGTAACAAGAAGGTAGCAGCAGGTTTGGGACCTGCATGGGCCAGTGCTGTCTTCTCACTTCATTTTCTAATTGCTTTTTACAAAAAAATTCATTTGCAATTTTAGTTTTTCTGGTTAGTATTGATATTGATTTTCTTATTTATATCATTCATTCAAACTTGAAGAGCAAAAGTAGGTCCAAATAATTGATTCATTCGGACAATGGGTGCGATGTGTTCGTAGTTTTCAAGTCAGACATGATAGTTCATGAATAAAGACGGGATATTTTGATTGATTGGAGGAAAGAAATATTCTACTCCATAAAATATTAAAAATTATCTTTGGGGGGGTAAAGAGGTATGGTCACAAGAAGGAAACTGATGGGATCAAAATGAGTACTTCTATGAAATGTAGTTTGGCAGCATAGCATGAGTGGAGCCAAAAATCATTAAATCAAGTAGTTGTTGTGTGTATTGTTTTGTGCTTTCTATCATAACATGTTTAGTTTTTTCAGTTGCTATTTCTTTCTTTCCATTATTGTTGATTTCTAACACATGAATTGGGAATTTTAGGTGAAACACATGGAAACCAAATCAGTGCTTGCCAAATTTAACCACATCAAAACATCTATTCAAAGAAGAAAATTAGGGTGTGGGTCTGGCTGTTATCTGTTTTCTGATGTTGATCATTTTTGTTTCCTTAACACTAATGAACCTTTTTTTCATAAGTGTCAATTCAACTCATTATCACGGGAGCACTTTGGTTTGTTAAACCTTTCTATTTTTGTTGCTAAGGATATATAAACGTTTTCAAATGATCCGTTATAATTCATTTCCGTACTCCAACTTTCATGTTCCCTGCCTGAGAAATGAAAAAGTTACATTTGGGTTGTCTTATTTAATAATAATAATCAATTATTAATGTGAAAAAGTAGGTTACTTTCACAAACTTTTTCAAGTATACACAAATAAAGCGAGATAACCTTACACCCTCCCCTAAAAAAGTGATATATGGTGCAAAAGGAAAAAAAAATGGCGAGGATTTAGTTTTTATGGTGTGTATTAAGTGGCATTACCATTATTGATACACTTGGATCGTGAACATTAAACATTAAAAAAAAAAAATCATTTTAAAACTTCCCACCTATCATTTTAGGCTTTGAAACAATTGTTTTTATAGCAGTAGCAATTTCCATTTTTGGCAAACCTGAATTTAAAAGAAGATTAACGAAATTGTATACTTAAAAAGGTTGATATTAAAAATGAAAATTAAAAATATTCCTTTAATATGGCAAACAATGATGATATACTAAAAAATTGACATTTTATCTTTTGCTGGTTACCTCTCACCAAAATATTTGCTTGAAATGTGAAGAATGGAAACAATAAGCAGTAAAATATTGAGCACTATATGAAGAGGACTTGATAGTATTTTAAGAATAAACATTATCTTTAGCATATTGCAAACCACCGTCGGTTGGAAACGCAGACACGTGCGATAGAAGAATTTATATGACTATAACAAAGTGCTAAAATGACAGTACAACAATTCAAAGTTTAGAATAAATTATTGTTATTTTTTTGTAACCCTTTGTGGGATACGGAGAAAACAAAACAAATGAGTAGGAAAACCTTGAAAATTGAATTAAGGATAAAATGAGAGAAAATAAAAATTTAAATATTATTTTCACTTCATTTTTTTAATTAAACAGAGAATACATCATTTTATAATTATTATTTTTCTCGTACAGGGAGAAAAGAAGACAATGAAGCTAAGGTTTAAAAATATATTTGGATGAAGAGTAGTCATTATAAAAAGGGGGAACAAATGAGTGAATGTCACTTCAAACGCATGGTGGAAGATTGAAAAGGGGATAGAAGAAGATAATGCAGCCTCAAACTCAACAGTGAAAAGACTCCACTTGTTTAATTCACCAACTTGTTTCATTTTATTGTATTTTCCCACTTCCCAAAGGAAGGGGAATACGGATGAGGATATCACATGAATTTAGACACACCATTTTATATGTCACTTTAAAAATATTATTTAACAGGTTTTAAATTTACGAATATCATTTCCAATAAAATACTTTTAGAGGATCCAAAATCAAATTCAAAATATGATATATATATATATATATATATATATATGTGTGTGTTTAAAATTGGTTTAATAAGTGAAATTAGAAATTTTTTAAAAAAACTCCATCCAATATACTTAGATTAGTATGTTTATACGTGGAATAGAGATAAAAATTTATTATTTTAAATTAGCATAAATATACTTCTTATATATATTAGTAAAAAAAACAAAGGGTATTACAAGTTTTGTTATTAAAAATTATGTATAGTTATTAAAAGTAAAATAAGGAACATAAAAATAGATACTAAAATTTCCTTTCTTGTATCGAAATTTATTTATATCGTCTTAATCTCATCACTATTAGGTTTATGAAATAATTTTTGTTATTATTAATATATATTTTATTAAAAATTGATCTTTTACTTATTTGAAATTTAAGATTTATGTTCATTAATCTAGTTAACGGGCCATTTAAGTTATGTGAGCCTAAAAAAAATAGACTACAAAGACCATTATTATTAGTATTATTATTATCAAACTACGCTTATATGTTTTCACAGACCAAATTAAGTTTTAAAAAGTAGGGTTTATATATGATGGGTAAAGCCAAACTAAATCATCATTTTGCACAACATGTCAAATCTATTTAACTAAATCCTAACTTATTATATCTTTTCACAGTTAGAAGAAATGGAGTTTTTATATATTTAAGGTGTCTTTGGATAAATGATTTAGTTAAGTGTTTTTTCTAATATATTTTTATCATATCAAAACTTATATTATTAATTAATTTGACCATGAAATATTAAGATAAATAAAAATATTTTAATAAACATTATTGAATGAGTTATTAAAAAAAGGTAAAAATAAATTTTTAAGAATTGTAAACAATTAGAATTAACGTAGTGATAAAGATTGTGACAATATATATAAATTTTTAAGATCGACCTTTATTATTTTTATTGTAGAAAAAACAAAAAACAAAAAAGTTTATATGATGGATCAATTGATTTAATATAATTGACATAAAAAAAAGTGATATAATATAATTCGCAAGCATAACTATGCTCATTAAGCATGTGAAGTTAGTCCTTAAATAAATTTTCATTCCTTGAGGATTAGTCTCTAGCTCTTGACCTGAGGATACAGAGAAATTCATTTTCACTATTTTGGTAACTAAATGAGGATACTTGCCCTAACTTAAACTCATATTATTCAAGAAATTTTTAAAATTTTGTATATTGGGTAATTTCATAACTTTTATGTTAAATTGACAACCCAACTCAAACTAACTCAAATATGGTTAGTTTTTTTTTCTGGGTGTAAAATCGGACCAAGCCTAAACTTATTAATATTTTAAATTTAAATATGTTTTAAACTGGAACTATCTATTCATCTCCTGCCATATAAACAATAAACATACATAGTATTTTAGCATGTAGAATATATAGGTAAAATATTTATTATATATAACTAAAATAAATTATATATTAAAATAATTATATTTAAATATATAAATTATATTTAAATTTTGAATAAATAAATATTTTTAAATATATATAAATTTGTTTTAGATTTATAATAAATAGTTTATATTAAAATATTAAAATTTAATTTATAAATAATGATGAAAAGTAAAAGCTGAATTAGATATAAAGTTAAAAGAATCTTATTAAAATAAAAGTTTTTAAAAATAATCTTGTATAAGATAATTTTTCGTATTTTTTAATAAGAGTTTGATTCATGTAAAATAACATCATTGAGCAATTTTGAGACATGAGTGGGAGAAATGAGAATAGGAAGATGAAAGAAAGAATGTCGTTAGCTTTTAGAAATTAAACGCATTAATAAACTTTGGATTGGAAAGCCTCATACTATGGTCTAACTAAAAGCTTAGCTGTTTTGTTTGTCCAACACTCCAACTAATGATTTAAAAAAAAAAACTGAAAAACCAAACACACCTTTATGTCACTGTTTTTCATGGCTGGTTGCCAAGCCCAAGTGGTTAGAGGTTAGTGAGGATGACAGCTGTTTCCATTTACAAAAGTGGGCTTCAGATTACCATATGGGCTTTAGGAGGTTGATCCAAAGAGTCCCGGGCCTGAGAACTAAAGAGTTTTCCTTCTTCTCATTTGTTATTATTTATTTGACAAAAGAGTCGTGTCCTTAAATCTAGACAGAAACTGAGAAACATCTAACAATGTCAAGAGTGTCCTTAAATCTTTAATTTGGTTTAACAGTAGCTGGATCGGATGAATCTTCCATGCTTGTTATTAGTGTAACAGTATATTTCCATTGGCTCTAAATATTAATTAAATTCTTAGAGAAAAGAGCTGATTAATTATTTGTTATGCCCAACCTTGTATTGTTAAACACCGTGTAGTTGTTATGCAAATATGGGTGGAGCAGGATAATCCAGAAATATGATATCAAAATTGATAATAGGAAGTGAGGAAAGTTTAGAATCAACAATTTTAGGATAAAATCATATTAACCTGATTTATTGACAAAATATATTAATCATGGCATTGTACATAGTTGAATTGTAAGATAAAAAGGCATACAACTATACTTAAAGTATAATCTACATGCAAAATATTTCAAAGATAAAATATTATATATTAAATTAAAAAGTTGTATTGTTGTTATTTTTTGTTAATTTTTTTTTATTATTATTAATACATGGTTGTTAAGAAATTATATTTTTAAAGAAATATATATAAAATTAGACCACGTTGGAACAACTCAAAACATAACATTTAAAATCTAAATTGTTAAACTCCAACACCAAATAATTCTTTTTCCCCGGTGAGGGATCGAAGTCAACATTCCCAAATCATTCCATCAAATATAGTGTTAATTTGTGGTTGCAATTTGAAGTCCAAAGCTTGAATCTTTGTCTAATAATTGCTGGTAATGAAAATGCACATTAATTAGAATTTATAATTAATGAACCGAACCGCATCAGTGGAAGTAGATCAAAATTAAAAGTTGTGTCTAGCTAGATTCAAAACTCCATTTCCTTTTATCTCTATCTTTATCTCTATATTACTTTTGCAACTTTTGTGGTGTAGCCGTTAATGGAGTGAGTGAGTGCTTAACGAAATCAACACATGACATGTTTTGTTTTTTCATAAACGAAACACCCCTTTTTTCGCTTTAGAATCCGCTTTCAACTTTGACAGAATTTACAGATTCAACTGTATCATCAACCAGTGTAGTTCGCAAATCAAAATAGACTCCAAAGTTTCAAAATATCAGTTTCACTAGAAAACTATAAAAGGGAAAGGGTAAAAAAAGACAACTGCGCTGAAATCTAAAAAAGGAAAACCAAATTTAACGGGATAAATAAAAGTAAATTCTTGAAAAATTGTGACAAACAAAAAACTATTAAAGTCAAATATTAACTTGATTGGCTACTTTTTCTTTTAAAACAACACATTGTTGGTTGTTAGATTTCGGTAAATGTTATGAACTTTTTTAATTTGCTGGTACATTTTGAGGTACAAAAGAATCAAGAATGAACTATGCCCGTTTATTACGAATACCAATTACAATAACGAAATTCAAGCCCATGAACTTTAATTTGCTAAATGTAATCTCAGCCGAAAACCCAAGAATTAAGGGTTGACTTTTGTTTAATCTGCCACTTGGTAATTGAATACAGACTGGAACGTGTTAATTTACTGATATAGAATTCAATTAAACATCCTTAAATTAAAATTTATACAAAATAATATAATGCAAAAATGACAATTATTATTTATTAATAGTCGACTATTGAAAAGTAACATAATACATCGATCGTATTAATTTTGGCTTAGTGATTTCCCGAAAAGGACCAAGAGCAGGATGGAGAAGGATTAGAAATGAAAGTATCCACCCTTTATAAACTTACATGCATTATCACATGAACTTATAGTAATATGAAATTTTACCCAACCCATGCCAACCATACGAAACTGAATTATTTTATGCATAAAATACACATATATATACCTGAAGAAGTCTGATATCACAATGTGAAAGAAAATCACGAGAAAGATAATTCTAATACTTCAAATAACGTCTAGTACGTGGTCCTTCAGACAAATATTAATAGGAGCAACTAAAGCTCATAATAAGAGGTAAAAGGACGAGAGATAATAGTAAGAAGACTGTGTGGAGCAAGAAATTGAATCAACGCAATGCATTCATGTTTAGTCATCCCAGGAAAAGATTGAAGCAGTAAATCCACCCTCACCAACACCAATCAGTGACAATAAATAGGATGGCGGGTAATCACTGACCCTAATAATGATGAATTTTATTTTGAAGCCAGAAAAGGAAATCCATCCATTTCAACCTGTGGTTGTGATTTTTCCAAAATCAGAATTTTCTATTTGCGTTGAAAAATATAGATGCAGATCAACAATAATAAGATAAGGATATAGTATAACAGCTTCAGTAGATAGTTACTGGTGAGGTTAAACATGTATTCCTATAGGTATTTTGAAAAGAATTATTTTGGAGAAAGCATCCATGTTTCTGTTAACAGCAGTTTATTCGATGGCGACGCAATTCAGTGTGAGTGAGGTTCCTTCCACCAAGTGGGGTCCGGGGAAGAAGGTAGATATACCAAGGTGGAGTATAATAATTTAGCAATTAGTAGCAGAATAGTTTTTTTTTTTTTTTTTTTTTTTTTTTT